ACGCGATGACTGACACACAGAGAATGAGAAATAATGACAACACTGGGTAACTCAGTTAAGCCTAAAGTTCAGCTTTAAAGACGGTACAACGGTGGATCTCAGGATTATACGATGCAGCACAACTAAGCCTGGTAGACACTTCTGGAGAGCACAAGGAAAGGGTTCATATACTGGCACTATAACATGGTGCAACTGGAACCAACACCCCTTTCTACAGCTCTGTTAACAACAGACAAACAATGTCGTACTACCTTCTACAGGATCATCTGTGGGAGGAGAGAAACAAAACTTAGGTATTTCATAGGCTTTATCAACATTGAGGAGCACATGGAAGAGAACTTCCTGTCATAAGAGTGACTTGCCCTTGCACACAGGCATTAGTCACCTTTTGAAACACAGGCACTTGTAACTTTTACTAAACAGAGTTACCTCCCTTCAACCACTTAACTGTCCTCACTACTAAGCCTTACACATAAGAAAATGGTACCCCCTTGTATCTACTGTTACACGCCCATGGATAAGCTTACTTCGATCAATTTTTATGAATTATAAAGTTCGGAAATGAATCAGTTGTTGATAAAAAGACGAAAACTAATACGGAGTTTGAAGAACGGAATATCGCGATGTTAGTAAGAAAACTGGTGTTATGCAATTAAAATACTGAAAATGTGTCAAGCCGAACCGACCCGTTTCTTCAGCGACGTTTGACAGAAATACTCAAATGACAGCTGTGCTCTTTTAGATTTGGAAATTTATGTGTTACAGTAATAGTTAATTTCAAATGTGGAAAAACTGCAATAAGATTATAAGGTGGACTGATTTTGTTATAACAGCTTATTTTACCTCATGTGATGTAATTTCTTGATGCCATTTAATTGTTTGAAGTATGGTGCGAAAAAATCTTGCCAATCATACACATTTACAAAAACATTTCCTTGTTCATCTCCAACTAACTGTGGAATATTTACACCAGTCACTGAACTTTTCTCAACACATTCTACCATATCAGCCAATGATGATACTTCAGTACGTTTAAAGTTTTGTTTTAGTAAACCAAAACACCAGTCCGGGCCAAATTTTGTATGTCCTGTTATCATGAAATTTAATGTAATAGAAAAATGAAAATTATGTAGAGTCCTCCACATTAAATACCATATGAATTTGTTTTTATTTTGGCCACTACAATTATCACAGTGCAACTCGGCATGTTGTTCACCTAAACCATATGTGTTAAAAAAATGATGTAAGTAACTAATGACAGCATTTGATCCTTTTCCTGTACACATGCCTTCATCGATAAGGTAATTCACCTGAGATGGAATGCCTTCATATGTAACACCAAATATTCCACATTTTCTTGGTACTAGAAAGTACATTGGACCTGGCTGTAGAGGGTTAGAAGGATAGTGCACATGCTGTGCATAATCAAATGAATAATGTACATTAATATTTCTTGAACACTGTGTATTTGAACCAAGTGTTAAATTTTCAACAGATTTTTTGCATTGTGAAACCATATCTCGATATAAAGATCTTTCCTTAGAAACCAATTCTAAATGTTCAAATTGTTTTTTAAGTTTAGCTCGTTTAACGACATCAGGTAAATTAGCACTTCTATAAACAGCAGCATTATTTTTCTGACACATATCACACAAGTCAGACATTGGTTTTGTTCGTACAATATGGGGTAAAAGGCGATTCCATATATTCTTGAAATTTATAAGCATATTCAATAGCTCGTATCATTTGAACAATAATAACAATGAATATTTTTGGCCCAGTCTATTGTGTTAGTAGGTCTTTAATACGTTTAAATTTTGAACACCATTGAAAACGTTAACAATTTAGATAAGACTGGAACAGTAATTTAAGCTTTTCTGACCAGCCACAGCCATTGCTGTTGAATAAAGTCTCCATACAGATGCCTTTGTTTCATTTGATGGGAGTAACCGAAGGTCGTCTCTTTTAAAACCAGGAACTAACTGCATGCGTTTCAGCAAATGTTGAAATAAAATTTACTACTCTTTTTATGTCATCAAA